CTAAAACATAATATTCCTTTAGCTAGAGGTAGAACTAGTCTGTTCTCATTGTTCTCTTTTAAAAGTTTCTTGATGATTCTTGCTACTAGTTTTTCATATAAACTTAATGATCAACCTAACTAGTTCTAGGAAGAAAATTTTAAAAACCTAGTAGCATATTTGTTGGTATTAGATTTACAAATAGTCATCTTTATGATGTTGAGTCTTTGAGTATGAGAAAATAACATGTTTTATCATTTGTTCAAATCTCCTTTTGTGTCTTTTAGAACTATATGATAGTTTTCCTTATACAGACATTTCCTTACATACACATTTCTTAAGTTTATGTTTGTTTTTTCACTATTTTGCAAATAGACTTTTCTGGCATTCGTCTAATTGGTTATCTGCCTATTTGGAGATTATTGATTACCAATGTGACATTTTTAAGTATATTTCCACTGTGATATAAGAATGGTATCTGGTTGTGGTATTATACTATAATTTTGCAAGATGTTATGATTGGGTATCTGGGTAGGGTACATGTTAACTCTCTGTATTATTTCTGTCAATTACCTGTGAATCTACAATTATCTCAAAATTTAAAAAAATTAAAAATAAAGACAGTTGGGGTGCCTGGGTGGCTCAGTCAGTTAAGTGTCCAACTCTTGATTTTGGCTCAGGTCATGATCTCAGGGTCATGAGATCAGCCCAGCACTGGGCTCGGCACTGAGTTTGGAGTCTGCTTGGGATTGTCTCTCTCCCTCTGCCTCCCTCACCCCCTCATGCACGCCCTCTCTGAAGAAAGAAAGAAAGAGAGAAAGAGAGAAAGAGAGAAAGAGAAAGAAAATTATATTAGACTAACTTGGTATATACTTGTTATTAGGAGTAATTTAGGTAATACATGTTTAAGGAATTTCAATGTACAAAGTATTATAGAGATAAAGAATACAATTATTATTACATATTTTTTCTTTTATTAAACAATATTTTTATTCATTTATTTGTCAGAGAGAGAGCACAAGTAGGGGAATGGCAGGCAGAAGGAGAAGCAGCCTTCCTGCCAAGCAGGGAGCCCGATGTGGGGCTCCATCTCAGGATCCTGGGATCATTACCTGAGCCAAAGGCAGACACTTAACTGACTGAGCCACCCAGGCGTCCCCCCTTTTATGTTTTACTAACAGCCTAAAATCTATAGAGAATTGAGTCAGAAATCTACAACTTAGAGAAAGACCTTTATTTTACCCATAAATGCAGGCTATTTCAAAGTTGTCTTCTCTTAGGTATTCTTTGGACATATATGAAATGAATGGAGCAGGAATGCCTTCTGGTGCAGTTTCGGTACTTCTTAAGATGACATATAGTGATTTATAAAATTAAATATGCATAAACATTAAAACCATAATTATTTCATGGTGGTAATAACATTTATAAGCAAGATGAAATTCCTAGAATCTGTAAAGAACAAAAAAAGTTTTTAAAAATAGGACACAAAAGTTACTGCAAAGCAAAAAACCCTGAAATGGTAATATAAAATACAAAATAGAGGGAAAATTTCACTCTAAGTGGTTGGCTTAATATAACCAGAGTTTGAACAAATCAGAAAGAGAAAAAAACTAACAGCCAAATAGAAGCAATACAAAGGACATGATTTGTATTAAAATGAGGAGGAGGAATTATTGCTTTTCTTCTCTTCACATTGTTAAAGTCCAATGTTTGATCAGACAGCATTACAGGAAAACAGGTGACATTGCTGTAAGTGTAAATTAGCCTGACAAATTTGAGAGCAATTTAGCTATAATATAGATATCAAAAGATATAATCACAATATCCTTTGATTTAGCAATTTTAATTTTAGTTTTTTATTATATAAAATAAACCTATATCTGTCCTTGAAAATACATAAAAAGTTCTTTATTGCTGCAGTATTTGTAATATCAAAAGACAAAAAAATATTAAATACCCTGCAATAGGGGACTGGCTATATTCATACCAGGAAATACCATACGGACCCGAAAATTTGAGATAAATCTTTAGTATTGATACTGGAAATTTGGTAAATATATCCTTGAGTGAAGAAAGCATGCTGCAAAATAATCTATGGCACATGACACATATTGTTCTTTATTCTGTACTCAGACGTGGGTACCTGTACATACATAACACAAGAAACTGTGAAGGGTCGTTATATGTGGGGAGGATGTATGGGATGGGGTGGAAACATTTTTTTTTTAGTATCTTCTTCATATTTGAATTATTACCTATTTTATTTCTCTAAAATACAATATTAAAATGGGAAGTTTCATGATAATTTTGACTAAAAGTCCAAGAAAATTCCAACATGAGGGGCTAGACCACATAAATAATAGAACTTGCAGAAGAGATAAAAAGGAGCTGGTTTTAAAACCCAAATGTAGACAAGGGAGAAGTTCTAGATGAGAAAAATAATTTCTTTAAAGACTATTGTAAATGTTGTAAGAGGGGTGGGAGAATCCATCTCCCAACTTCAAGTCAGTTGAGGAGGGTCTCAGTGAATCTTCCAAGAGCTTGTCCTCTTTGGTTTTTAAGAGGCAGTGGGATCGTGTCTGATTTACAGTGAAGAAGTGAAAGGCCAGAGACTGTGTCTAGAGCCACAGCCTCTGATGGCAAAACAAGAGGTGGTTCTGCTTGCTCTTAGAATATGTTGGAATACATAGTGAGACCTCAGCAAAAAGAGTCTGGATGGCGTTGTATCAAATGCCCAACAGAGGAAGGAAGAAATATAAGTGATTTTTCTACTGATGATGATTACCCAAGATCAAAAGAATTTCTGGAATGTTTCCCAGTGTTGAGAGTAAGTGGAGGAGACTTCAAAATTACTATGAAAGCCCAAAACTTGATAGAGCATCAGCTTAAAACTTTAACTCGATAAATGTTAACAAATATATATATATGTGTGTGTGTGTGTGTATGTATATATTTGTATGTATAAATAGTCATGTAGCCACCACTATAATTAAGATATGGAAACTTTCCATCATCCCCAAATTTCCTTCACTGCAGTTTACAATCAATCCTTCCCACACTCTGGCCTTGATCTGCTAAAGATCTGGCTTCTGTAGCCATAGATTGTTTCTGCCTATCCTAAAATTTCATGTACTAAAAGTCAGCTAGACACTTAGCCAAATAAAATAAAATAAAATGTATAGCAAATCATTGTCTCAAAGACTTGAGAGTTATATGGGAAAAATGAAAGAACAAAGATTCTATGAGTTAGGCTTTGTCAGAGAATGAACTATAAATGGGTGCACATCCTTTATACATAATAACTTGCCAGGAATATTGAGTCACAACAGCCCCAAACTACTGAGCAGAAGATATGTTTCAACATTGTAGTTAAACACATTTGTTGTTGTTGTTGTTGTTGTTGTTTTTACCTACTTATTAGTCACAAAAGATTAAAAATATCGATTTTCTGGACTTCTTCCTGAAGTTCACCTCCCAGTGCACTCATATAAAAATAGTACTTTTGCATCAACCATGATCTAATTAGCTGATTAATTTCAACAAAGATTATAATATACTATAAAAAGATAAAAATACAAGAGTCTAAATTTATGCATATATTTTGAAATATGAGTCCTTGGTTAGATATAAGGTTTGCAAGTATTTTCACCAAGGCTACCTTACCTTTTCATCTCTTGTTTTTTCTTAAAAAAAAAGTTTTTAAGTTTGATTATATCCAATTATTGATTTTTTTTTTTTATGGATCATTTCTTTGGTGTTCTGTCTAGGAACTCTTGATCGAGCACCAGATCCAGAAAATATTCTAGTACTTTTACAGTTCAATATTACATATTTGAATCTATGATTATTTTGAGGTTTATTTATTTATTTTGTCTGTGGATCTCTCATTGCTCTATCATCATTTGTTGGAAAGACTTTTTTTTTTTTTCCCATTAAATGGCTTGTGTATCTTTATAAAAAATTAACTGACTATACTATGTCGGACTATTTCTAGGTTCTTTATTCTGTTCTACTGATCCATGTGTCTATCCCTCCTCTCTGAGTGTAATGGTCTTGATTATTGTGGTTGTATAATAAGTCTTGAGTTCAGGTAGAATCATCTTCCTAACTCATACTTTTTTTTTTTCAAAATTGTTTTGATATTCTAGTTCCCTTACCTTTCCATATGAATTTTAGAATCATCTTGTCTATATCTATAAAAGAACTTGATGAAATTTTGAGAATTTCATTAAAATTATATATTAATTGAGAATTGATTATTTTTACTATGGTGAGTCCTTCAATCCATTTATAGTGTTTCAATTTATTTAGATCTCATTTCATTAGTATTTTATAATTTTCAAAATGCAAATCCTGTGTCCATGTTTTGTTGAATTTACACAAAAGTACTTATATTTTTTTTGTTACCGTACTCTCTTTGTTGCCTTGGGGCGGAGCTGTGATATTAGCATGGCCAAGAGTACTCAGCTCCACTTTGGCCCACACAGCTCCTCCATGAAGGGTCTCCACCTGGCTGTCCAGGTGAGGCCTCCTCCAGACACCGGCCATTGGGGTCTCACGATCAGGTGCAGGATCTGCTGCTTACATGTACTGGAAAACCTCATGGTCAGGTGCAGGCACTCTCAGAGGGTCCACAAGGTGCCATGATCATGCTTAAGGTAAAGTCTCCAGGAAGCAGCCTTCTGGAGCATTTGGTTTGTGGACAATCGACTTTCTATGTTGATGATGCCTCGGTTTGCTCCTTTTCCACCCCCTTGCACTTAGCAACAATGGTATTTTTTTTATTTTAGTTTTCAAGTATTTGTTTCTAAGATATAGAAGTTCAGTAGCTTCTTGTATGTTAATCTTGTATCCTGTGACTTTGCTAAATTAATTTATTTGTTCTGCAAGTTTGTTTATAGATTTTATGTGGAATTTTCTACATGGATGATATATCATATGCAAAAAGAGGTGTTTATTTCAACTTCTCTAATTTGTGTGTGTTTGATTTCCTTTTCTTGCCTTATTGTACTGATTAGAACATGAAGAACATCTTGAAGAGCAGTGGGCACCCTTGCCTTGTTCCTGACCTGTGGTGGAAAAATTTCTTTCACAAGTAAGTGTGATTATTTGTTTTATGTTTTTTGTAGATGTTCCTTATCAACTCGTGGACCTCTCTCTCTATCCCTATTTTTCAGTGAATTTGTTTGTTTGTTTTATCATGAGTAGTTGTTGATTTTTTTGTAAATGTTTTGTCTGCCTCTATTGATATTATGTTTTCTTTTTTAGCCTGTTGATATAATGGATTGCATTAATTAATTTTCCATTTTTGAGTTAGCTTTGTATTCCTGGAAATAACACCACTTGGTCATAATTCATATTTTTTTATTTATAGCTAAATTATATTTACTAATAATTTAAGATTTTTTACATCCAGAGTCTTGAGGGATATGGTCTGTACTTTTCTCTTTATGTATTGTCTCTCTCTGGTTTTGATAAATGATATGGACTTCAAAAAATCGTAGGAAAATGTTCCCTCTAATTTTTGGAAGAGATTGTGCAGAATTGATGTTAACTTTTCTTTAAGTATTTGGTGGAATTTGTGAGTGAAACCATCTGGGCCTAGAGATTGCCTTTTTTTAAATTAAAATTTCAATTTCCTGAATAGTCATGGTGTTATTCAAATGATCTGTTTCATATTTGGTGCATTGTGGCAGTTTGTACTTTTCCAGGAATTGGTCCATAACATCTAAGTTGTCAGATGTGAGTAGTTGCTTGTAATATGACCTTATCATGCTTTGGCTGTGTTTGTGTAGGGTCTGTAGTGGTATCCTTTGTTTTATTGATTTTCTTTATTGCCTTTTTCTTTTCAGTTCTATTGCTCTTTGCCCTTATTGTTATTATTTCCTTCCTTCTGATTGCTTTGTATTTTTAATTTGTTATTCTTTTTCTAGTTCATTAAGTGGTTTGAATTATTTGAGATTTTCCTCTTTTCTACTATAAACATTTAATGCTCTACATTTCCCTCTGGGAATTACTTTAGCTGCCTCCAACAGTTACTGATATGTTTGTTTTCTTTTTTATTCAGTTCAATGTATTTTTTTAAAAAATTCTTTAGACTTCATCTTTGATCCCTGGTTTATTTAGGGGTGTGTTGTTTAGTTTCCAAGCAACTGGAGATTTTCCTGTTATCTTTGTGTTATTGATTTCTAGTTTGATTCCATTGTGATCAGAGAACACACTGTATATGATTTTAATTCTTTAACATTTGTTGAAGTTTGTTTTCTGGCCCAGCATATCTTGGTATTTGTTTATTGAAAAGAATAGACTGTTGATATGAGTGTTCTGTAAATGTGATTAGATCCTGTTTGTAGCTGGTCTTTTTGGTTTATTCTATATCCTTGCTGATTATCTGTCTAAATGTTCTATCAATTGTGGAGATAAATGTTTTTAAGTCTCTAAATATAACGTGGAATTGTTTATTTCTCCTTTCATTTCTGTCATATTTTGCTTCATATATTTTTCAGTACTGTCATTTGGTGCATACACATTTAGGTTTGCTAGATATGGACTAGTCCTTTTACCTTAATGTAATGTCCCTCTGTCCCAGTAACTTTCTGTGTCTGGAAATCTACTTTATTTGATAAAAATATGCTCATTCCTGCTTTATTTGATTAATGTTTTTTTCTACCCTGTGTTCAGCCAACCCCTATCATTATATTTGAAGAAAACTTCTTGTAGACATCATATTGTCGGATCCTTTTTAAAAATCAGTGTTGTCATTCTCTTTTACATGGTTTATTTAAATGTAATTTTTGATGGGTTAGGCCTTAAATCTGCCACTTTATTTTCTCTTTGTTCTTTCTCTTCTGGGGTAGGGAATTTTTTTGTTTGTTTGTTTATATTTTACTACATACATGCTAGTTAGTGGAACATTTGTTAAGAATTTCATTTTATTTTTTTCATTTTGATCTATAGGGATTTATGTGTGTCTCTCTCTTCTTTTCTGTACATACGTTTCCCTCCCCGCACCCCATGGTTTCTCTTGGTATTATACTTTATGTTCAAAATATATCACATTTTAATGGAGTGAACATTTTGAAAGTTAAGTATAGAACCTTACCTTCCTTTTGTCCTTTTGTCTTCCTCCACCTATAATTTAATTGTCTTAAAATTTTCTTTGAAATATATGTTAGAGACCATTGTAATCTTTACAGAAAACTCAAAACAAAGAGAAATATCTTTTGTATTTTCCCATATTTTGTTCTTTTCCTTATCTTTCTTGTTTTTTTATTGCTCTACATCTCCTACTTTTTTCCTGTCTGTTCACTGAATTTCTTTCAGGCATTCTTTTAGGATAGATCTACTGGAGGACATTTCTCTTAGGTTTCCTTCACCTGAGAATGCTTTAATTTATCCTTTTTTTGTTTGTTTGTCTGTGTGAAGCCTTTGACAGTTTCTTTCCTCAGCACCTTTTTTTTCCCTCAGCACTTTATTTCTGAAGTATATTGTCACTTGATACAGAATTCTTGTTTGACAGGTTTTTTTTTTCTTTTTTTTCCTCAAAACTTGAAAAATATGCCACTTCTTTCTAGCTTCAGTGGACTCTCATGAGAAACCCTCTGTTATTCAAATCCTTTATTCAAATTCTTTTTTCCCCTCTAGGTAGTAAGGTGTTTTTATTGTTGTTGTTTTGTTTTTTATTTTTTTTTCTTTTTCTTTTCCTCTTTTTATTTTTCTGACTGCTTTCAAGAATTTTTCCCGATCTTTATTTTTTAGAAGTGTGACTGATGTGTAATGGCTTGCATTTATTTTGTATCATCCTGTTCAGGGTTCTCGCAACTGTTGAATCTGAGCTTTATGTCATTTGCCAAATATGGGAAATATTTAGCCATTATTTCTTCAAATACTTTTACAGGCCCAATATCTTTCTTCTACCCTCTGAGACTCCAATAACATGAATGTTAGATCTTTTGTTATATTCCCACATGTTTCTGAGTATCTATTCATCTTTTTTTTTTTTTTTTTTCCCTCAGTCTGTTTTCTCTCTTATTCAGATTGGGTAATTTTTTTTTTTTTTTTTTGTATCATCTCAAGGTCACTCTTTCTATTGTCTTCTCCATTCTGCTGCTGAGCCCATTTCTTGAGTTTTTAACACTTTGACATCCAGGGTTGAATAGAGAAGAAAGCTCCTCACAGCTGGGCAGGTGGCTGGTAGGCTGCTGAAACAGCTTTACTAGTTCATGCTCCCTACTAGACCTCTGTTGCTAGTGTCCTGTGTGAGAGGAGGAGGTCACCATATCACTGCTAGCAGTGGTGGAAATCCTGAGTTTCCCGAGGCCTCCTCTGAAACTATCCCTTTGGAGATAGGAGGAACATATCACTGACACATGGGGAAAAAAAGTATAGACCTCCCATGTGATCTCTACTGACCTCACACTAGGGGCTCACTGCCACTCATTTTGCATGAAAGTCTTAGTTGAATACTCTGACAACACCCTTATGGAAATTTGGCGAGCCATCACATTCTGATGAATATGGACATCTAGGCTTTCCCCTTGGACTTAGGGAGAGGGCTGGTGGTGGAACCCTCTCCTCACCCCTGGTTTTTTCTTTGGCACTTGCCTGAAGAAGAGTGGTAATCATTGAAAGTTTTCTGTCTTGCTAGCCTGCACTTTTACTGGTAGTTTTATTAGAGAGAAAAGCTTTTCTTTTCTTTTCTTTTTTTGTTTTTGTTTTTGTTTTTGTTTTTGTTTTGTACCCATTGACATTTCTAGGTGGATGCCTTCACCAGTACTCATCCATTCAGTCTGATATATATGAGGCCAAAAAAACAAATCTGGAGAAATCACCCCTGTTTGGGTCCTGAGGACCCAATCCATGCTTTTCTCTCTACCTTTGTCCTTTGACTCTTAAGGAACAAAAAAAACATAAAAAAAAAAATAAATAACACCAAAAACCCAAGTCAATTCAATTAGCTAATGGGCAAAGAACATAAAGAGACATGTTAATGGAGATGATATACAGATGGAAAGTAAGCCCATGGAAGGATATTCAACCTCACTAGCCATTAGGGAATTGCATCTATTACATCAATAAAATGAAACATACATAAAATGGTATAATCACTTTGAAAAATAATCTGTCAGTTTCTTTTAAAAAATAGGTGAACAGACACTTACCATATGACCCAACAATCAGACTCCTGGACACTTAACTTTTGAGAAATTAAAGCACATTAAAATCTGTCTATGAATGTTCATAACAGCTCTATTTATAGTAGCCAAACCCTGGAAGCATTCAAAATGTTCCTGGAGAGAGGAATGATTAAACAGTCTCTGCTACAGCTACCCTGTGGAATACTACTCCGTGATAAAAGGGATGAACTATTGATACATGCTGCAACTTGGGTGGATCTCAAGGGTGTTATTCTGAGTGAAGAAGCCATTTCAAAAGGTCACATACTGTTTGATTCCATTTATATAACATTCTCTAAATGATTAAATTATAAAGATGGAGAACATATTATTAGTAGTCAGGATTTAAGAATGGTCTATTTAGTTTCCTAGGGCTCCTATAACAAAGTGTAGATTTCCCAGCTATCCAAAAGTAGAGTGTTCCTATGAAACCTTTCATAAGCCAAATGGTGGAAAGTGAAGAAACAATTACCATTAATATACATGGGGAAACTTTTTGAGCATTTCCAGACCCCTCTCCAAGAACCTCTCTTAGGCTTTTCTGATACCTTAGGACACATCTTACTAATGGATGCATAAAATCAATCGAGATAAAGCACAGATGCTCACAGACACAGTTCACAGCTGTGGTAGCTTGATGCTGAGTATAGTGACAAGGAAGGAGGTTAGTGACCCTCTTGCTGCTCAGGGGTGTGCTGCCTCTATAAGGACTCACTCCAAAACAAATGCTGAATACTATCTTCCTTTTTTTTTTTTTTAAGAGAAAACTGTCTTTGGATTTCTTTCAGTTAGCAAAAATAGGTACTAATGCAGATCCTTTAGGAAAGTGTAGTGGCATACAGAGAGGAGGTGGGTCGGGGGATGGGTGAAATGGGTGAAGTGGATTAAGAGTACACTTATAATGATGAGAACTGAGTATCGTCTAGAATTGCTGAAT